TACATACATACATACAGACACACACACACACACATATATATATATGTATATATATTTATATAAATATGTAAATATATATATATATATATATATATATACTCGTGTATCTATTTTTGTCTACACATGGATGTCTCTCGCGCTATGTTGCTGACTGTATGTAGTGGGTATATACTGGCATAAAGCTGATTATAAACTTCTGTAGAACGCGTATATCTGTGCAAATCAATGGAGTCCTCGCACAACATGCCATGTGCCGTGATTGTGATCGATACATCGATACATCGCTAGTTAGTAAGTCTGTTTTGTCTCCACCCGTACACAGAAGGACATGGGATGCAAGAATGTGCACACCATGGGAAAGAACGACGCCGCTATCAATAACCTGTGTGCCGTGTTAGCTGCACTGGGCACCGTTGCCACTCTCTATCAGATGGGATCTATGTCGTTGGGCATCAACAAGAAGGGCAAGGATTAAGGTACGTACAACTGGTATTGTAGTGTTTGAATACAAGATTATGATACGAATGAGCACATTTTGTGGTGTATGTATAAGGCAGAGGGTATGTAGAATATAGTACAATAGTAACCACATCGGGTACCCCAGGTCGTAGAAAACGCAAAACGTTATGTACAATATGGTTGTTCTCAGGGACATGTTTGTCAAACCTGCCTCTCATCGATGACGTTGATACACCACAAAATTCATACCACACAACGAGTGTCCTCAAACTCTTTGTTGTTATGCAACTCTCTTGTCTTAGTATACATTCTTATTACCTACTAAGGTGAGGTAAGGACCATTAATAATATCCACGCTGGGTCGAATCTCGTACTTTGCACTGAACGTTACTACATCTGCACTGTCTTTTGCCTCAGTTTTGATCCGTGACCCTAGGCTCAGCGCGCATGGGGAGTTTGGCCATCGAAAGAATCGACGGTGGCTTGAGGGGCGCTTGAAAGCACTTGCTGATATTCTAGCTCTAGGACGCGCATTTCGAATGCGGATTAATAAATGTTTGTACGTTGGTTCGCTAAGTGTAGTTTAATCACGATGCTAAAATTTGCGCTACTTGAGCACGATCAAGTCAAATAAGGACACATACGAGCAATATAATTTTAACTCCACCGAGCGCGGTAAATCCTTTCGCACTTGGAAGCGCTGTTACTTAATTGTGATCTACTATATAT